AGAAACGGTCGTTATAAGAAACGAAGTGTTGCCCGATTACTGTTAAATCAACTGAGTGTATAGTCACTTTCATCTTACAGATAGATATGAAGTATTTTCTATAAAATACATGCTATGTGTAATTATATTGTTTGTTTATTTGAAATGGGTGTTGACTAGATGTTTTATACAAGTTTTAAACTGTATATGTATTTTATTTATGAAAATGTTGGGTAAAACATGGGTAGATGAAACAGCTGATGTGTGTTAAAATGATGAGAGGCCTAGATGTTGTTATTGTTGTTGTTGTATTCATCTAGTGGGGTATAGATGACGACCACTGACCTTTCTAGACAGTCTTGTGGAAGGCTAGCAGGCTCGCAACCTGTAGGTGATGATGAACTAGATGTTTGTTGGTGTACTTTATCCACCTCATGGTTTCCTTATTTAACATAAATTGTTGAGGAATCCCTAAAGCAGTGTTATCACCCTGATGAAAATCCTTAGGCTACATCCCTTATGATAGGTGTTTAGGGACGTAAAGTCAGGATAACAGGAATGGGTAATCAGGGTTATTGTTGGTTGATGGAATTAATAAATTTATTGTTGGTTAATGAAAATTAATAAATTTATTATTTGTGAGTTGAAAACCCTATATGCTCACTAGACTCCCAAGTCTGACACACTCAACTTTTTATATTACAGGTAGTGGACCCCAAGCATAGTTTGATGATGACGAGGGATTTTTGGATTATAGGCTAGTAGTTGTAAATAGTTGTTGTAAGGCTTATAATGTGCTGTTTATGCTTTTGATTAGTATCAATACATGACATCCCGAGGTTTCGTTATATAATGAAAATATATATCTTTAAGAAATACTTTGACAAATTTTTATTATATTTTGTTTTGGGAACAAATTCCGCAATTTTTTGGAAAATTACTCTGATTCTATTTTAAAAACATAAACTTAGTCGGTCTTTTCTGGCCGAGAAAAATGGGGATGCCACATAATAATAAAAGGATAGGAGCATGGAAAGGTGTGAGCGACAACATTAGAAATGTTAGCGATAGTAATGGGAAGGGATAGAGATGTTTTTTGTCGGAGAGGAGAAGAATGAGATTGTACAATTTGCAATGTTTTTAAAAAATAAACATGAAAAATGATGTTTTCCTTCTTCTTTCGAATAACATTGACCGGGGAAGAGAACCAAAAAATTGATGATGATCATAAAATATGAGAGTGACTACATGTGTACACACGTTATTTTAATGATAAATTATACACAAAAATGTGAGTTTAATGGTGTTTCTTGAACAACAAATGTAAGTTTAATGATAATTCTTGAACATGTGAGCTGAATTGACCTTCAATAGTTGCTCAAAATGGTATTTATTAAACATTATATATAAGTGTAATGGTAATGTGTACAAACAATAAGAAAGTGATTGAACGTATACAAAAATAATAATTCATTACCCTATAAAAACATTTGCCTTATTTTTATTGCTTTTACATTAGACAATTTTTTTTTCCAAAATATGCAACAAGAAGTTTATTGTTATTTTTATTGTTTTGTAAGCTTATAACAAAATAAAATCAATGTGTCTAGGGTTTCTTGTTGAATGAATAAATGGATTATAAAGAGAGGGAAACACAATTATAAATAGGAAAACTATCTAGGGTCAACCTAGCTAATTAAATAAATTAAATCCCAATACAAAATACCTAATATCTTGTATTATGATAACATCTCATCATCAAAATCACAATGTAATAACAATAATCATTGCAAGTTTTCCAGACAAATAACGAAAGCAAGAGGTCAACTAAACCTTCATGAAAATATCAGCAATTTCCAAGGCTGGCGGAACGTATGGTAGCAAGATTGTTCCTAACAATAGATGATGATGAGTCAAATAATAGTCAATCTCAATATGTTTTGCCCACTCATGGAATATAGAGTTATGTGAAATTTGTATCGTGTTGTTGGTGTCACAATGCAAGGGATGATACCAATATTTGCAAGAAGCCAACGTAACCAAACAATTTCATAAGTAGTCACATCCATAACTCGATACTCAATCTTTGTAAAAAATTGAGAAATAACATCACATTTTTTAAGTTTCCATGAGATCAGTAAATCCCCAAGAAAAATAGAAAAAAAATGGTGGTGGATTTGAGACTATCGGGATCGTTATCAAAATTAGTGTCACTATAGACATGTATATCTAGATAAGATGTCAATGGGGAATATGAGATGCTAAATTTTAGTGACACAAAGATATCTCAAAATTTGAAGAATAACTCCCCAATAAATAGTAGTAAAAGCAGTGAAAACTGACTAATCATATGCATTTCATGAGTTATGTTTAGTCAAGTGACCATAAGATAAACCAAACTCCCCACAGTTATACGATAATGGCTTGGATATGATAAATAAATACCATCCATCAGAGAATACCTGGTGTTAGTTTCAAGAACTATATCACCAATCCTATTGTCAGAGATTTGTGCATGTTTAAACATATCATATAAGTATTTCTTCTAAGATAAAGATAACCCTTGAGAGTTTAAACAACCTTAATATCTAAAATATAAACTAGCAAGCCTAAGTCTTTCATAGCACAATAGTGAGTCAAATCATGCCTCAAAGACTCAATGTCATTACATTCATCATCAGTAATAATCATGTCTTCTATATATGCAGATAAGAGAATCTACCCTATACTTACACGTCTAACAAAAAATGTCGTTCATGACTACTAGGAAGAAAAAGAAGATAGGTAATTACAATAGAGAATTTCTAAAACCAAGCACGATGAGCTTGTTTTAGACCATATAGATATATTAAAGACAAAAAATACAAGTACGGTGAGCTTGTTTACCATTCAAGAATACATTCTTGACATCCAATTGGAAGATCTTCCACCGACGAATAGATGCAATTGCTATCAGAGAACGAACATATGTTATATTTTCAACAAACATAAAAGTATCCCCATAATCCATATCATATTTTTGTGGGTATCCTTTTGCAACAAGCATGGCCTAATATCGTTCAAATGATCCATTAGACTTAGTTTTAATATTATATTACCAATGACAACTGACTGTATGTTTCTGACTGCGATTGGAACAAATTCTCACATACGAGCCTAATTAAGACTCATAAGCTCCTCAAACACTGATGAGTACTTATCTTCATTTTCTTCCTAGTACGAGATCTTCTAAATGGTTGAGGTGCTTATGACTCTTTATCAGAATCATACATGGGAATTCGTTCGACTCCCAGTTATGAAACATAAAATTAGATGTCATTGGTTATATAATATTACAACGAAGTCTAACCAATCAGTTCAATGATACTAGGTCATGCTTTTTGCAAAAGGATACTAAAAAATACAACATGTATAATCAGGATACTTTTGAGTTTGTTGGAAATATAACATATGTGTGTTCTATAATAGTAATTGCATATATTCGTCAGAGGAAGATCTTTTAAATGGATGTCAATAATGTATTCTAAAACCAAGCACGATGAGCTTGTTTGAGACCAAATAGATTAGTATAATATGATTGGTGTATGGTACCACCAAATGCAAGTAACTAAGAGAAATTTTTAGAGGTATATTCTATGCTTAAATCATAATGGAAGCACTCTCTTTTATTAGAGCGTTATATCTTGAACAGGGCATTGAAATGGTTGTATATTTTAAAGAAGTTATACATGTGTTTTATAAGATAAACCTATGTATATCGACTATAACCATTTATAAACAAGACATAGTAAGTTGATCCTCTTTTAGAAAACACTAAGGATGGATCTCACACATCTAAATATACAAGATCAAAAGGAGAAAAAAAAAAGACAAAGACACATTTATTAAATGGTGAAACATAATTATTTTTCAGTTTACAACCACTACAATCATAATTTTTAAAAGTGTTCAAATACCCTAAAGCACATGTAGTAGATAAAAACTATAACATGGCATTGAGACATGTCCCAAAAGAAAATGCGAAAGATATAAGTCAAAAGACGAGTTACTCAATTGATAAGAGGGGTCAACACTAGTGGCAACATCATCAAAAACTCTAAGATGATCCATGACATAGAGTTCCCCTAGCTTAAAAAAGATCCCAATCACCATTTGAGACCATGGATAATGTATATAACAAATATAATGTATAAAGAAGACCTAATATCCATATTTACACATCTAACTAGCCAAAGCAAGGTTTAAAGAAAGTGTAAGAATATAATAAACATAAGTGACAGAAACATGAACGTAACAACATAACCAACACCTTCTACTTGCAATGGTATAGAACTTGCAAACACAACAGAAAATATGAAAAGAAAAAGATACAAAATATTAAAAACACAATGGCGTATGATTAGATGTACCAAAGTCCAACATCCATAAGGATGAAGGATCACTTAAAGTAATGGATTAAGATTGGCTTGTATGAGACATAGATGGTGACATGGAAGTAGTATTAGAGGCATGAAACTATCTAAATTGCTCAAAAATGCAAGGGATCTAATGTAGACGATGGTGTGATGGTGGCATGGTGACCGGTAGTCTCTACAGAAGGAGCAACATTAGTAATGAACCATGGTGGAGGAGTGCCCATTTTGTAGGACCATAAGGGTGTGGTGAAAAACTTATTGAAACTGTCCAGATGGTTTGTTTTGATATACATGCCTTTGTTGTTGTTTTATCTTGTTTGTTAATAATGGATACTAAGGCTTCTAATGCTTCTTCTTCCTATAAAAGGCTCATTCATCAATGACAACATTAGCGGTCGGTCAAGAATGATTTGCAAACCGGGGTTGCAGAGATGCAAAATCAAGTGTAGTGAAGCTTTAGACCTTTTGTCTAAATGAGATTTGATACAATTTTTTTCTACACTCACCTCTTGAACAATTGAGTAAGTTGTGGGAGGATGGTAGAATAGATAATCATACCATGAAATCCTTTAAAATCATACCTTAATGCCATAAAAAAACTACACCATGGTTTATTATTTAAGGAAAAATGAATTACAAAGAAAGGAAAAGACAAGGGTAAATGTTTAAATAGTTACTTAGTACTAACCTATTTAAGTGGTTACTTAGTATTAACAAAAATAATACATCTTTTATTATGTTAGTAGTTTTTACATTATACGATTTTTTTTTTCTTTCTTGAATATGCCTATCAACATCAAATTAAGAAAACATCAACTCAAAACCATAACTCTAACCCGAATTGAATGGAAGCTTAGCTGATGATGAACCAAATCGTACAACAAAAACATCAAAATAAGTTCCATTACTTGAACTCAGAAGAAAGAAATTAAAACAAAATCGAAACAAAAGTTAGTGATTTTTAAATTACATTCCTACTTTGTTTCTTCACTTTCTTTGATCTTTTCTTCTAACAAATGCCTTGATCTGCAATACGCAAGCCATCGATCCAAGTGCAATTCTTTTTCTTCAATAAATCATCTTCCTATTTACATCTACTTCTTATTTAAATATAAGTCACACGGATTCTTCTTCAATGGTTTGAGATGATTCGAGCCTATTTACTAGCAAATCCAATGCTTCTTTCATCCATGGTTGTTGACAAACTTCTTTAGCTTTTGGCACACTCACCTGTAAACCCCGATAAAGTTCATAAATTTCTCCTAAAAAATATCGATTTCTGTAAAAAAATTGAATCTTTTTTCTTGGTTTAAAAGCTTACCCAAATTCGTTGACGAATATCTTTTTCAGGCCAGAAGTCGAGTTGTTCTTTCACAAGTAAAGGGAACATGAACCCTTCGTAATAGTTTTCATTGCTTTTGCTCTTGAATAACCATTTACCCAATATACGCTGTAAAAAGGTAAAAGAAAAGGTAAATAAATCGAATAATTCAAGAAAATTGTAAGAATTTATATAAAGAAAGGATCGAAGAACGAACCTCAACAGTTCCAAATACTCCAGCTTCCTCTATCGATTCTCTTAGAGCAGCTTCTTTAATGGATTCATCGGATTCCCAACCTCCCTGGTAAAATTAAACTGTGTGTTAATCGTTGTTCTTCATTGCGTTTTTTAAAGAAAGTCAATGGATGCTTTTTGGGTGTAAAAAGACTTGGTATTTAAGACTAAAATGTCACTTTGTTGTTCATGATTAGAGTCGTGTATTATATGAATTTAAATGGTGTAATACCTTAGGGAACAACATGCCTTTGCCTTTTCTTTGTGCACTAATGACAAGAACTTCTAATGAATCTTCTAAATTCTTCCCTTTGTTGGATTTTATTCTGTAAGGGATACATCTGTCACCAATTTTAAACAATACGTTAGTGAAAAATGAAAATATATCATCAAGAAACAGAGATACATATCTTGAAATTACTAGTTCTTCGAATTAAGCAAAACCCAACCAAATTCTATGAACAATTTAATCATGGGTTTGGTTTTCTTCACTCAGTTTCACGAAATATGGAACATTTTCCATCATACATCAAACAATCTCAAAGCGAACCCATTTCAATTTTCAAATAACCTCAAATTCCAAAAAACCCAGAAAGAAATTGAAATTACTAGTTCTTCCGAATAAGTGATAATACTTCGAATTTAGCAAAACCCAATCAATTTCTATGGATAGTTTGATTATGCGTTTCGTCTTCTTCATTCAGTTTCACGAAATATGAAACATTTAAAAATGAACCCATTTCAAAATTCGAATCACCCCAAATTCCATAAAAAAATCCCAAAGAGAAATGCATCGGAAAGTAGAGGAAAAGGAGACTGACCCAACGATTTGACGATGGCCTTTGTCGTATCGCTGCAATTGGCGACCTGTTCGAGCAACCATGGCGACCATGTTCTTCAATTCCATTTTTGTTTAGAAAGTAAAAAGATAGACCCAATTGGAAACAAATTACAAGTTACGATGTATACAGTGGGTGGATAAGAAACCAGAATTAAGAGATCTGAGTGATGGGGGAGGGAGATATGCGGCTGATTATATATATAGAGATGCATAAGATAATGCAGGGAGGTTGAAGACGATGTAAGAAGGAATCAATGAGATAACTGTGAGAGAATTGGCCCACATGCAGACTCGGGATAAAAAATTAAATAACAAAATAAATGAAAATAAAATTGTTTTCGATTAAAATAATAATAAATAAACAAATTGACGTGGCAATGAAAATATGAAAAGCTTCTACAAATTTGCTTGGATTAAAAAGAATAAAAATAAAAACTTAATTAAGGTTACATCAATGGGAATGTAATTATTTCAATTATAAAAAATTGTCATGGTAATTTTTTTAGTACAATATTATATTGAAAAAGAAACTATCGGATTTTTGAGTATCTATGACATTAACACAAAGTTAAACTAATTACAAATTACAAATTAAAATAACTAAAACTTATTTTTATCCTATTGTTGATTTTGCAGTTAATTGCGATCGATGTCCGAAAAAAATTTCACATTCTTTTGGCTATAATTTACGATTAGTATGGAACATTTGGAAGTCCATAAATAACAAAATTTTCAAGAATCTCTCGATCTCAGCCAAAATTCTTGCGGATAATATTTTTTTAGACCTGGCAAAACATGATACGACACGAAAATCCGACATGAAACCGACACAAAATTAGCAAGTTAGGGTCAGAGATTTCGTCACGTTTATGTAAACGGGTTGACACGACACGACACGATAATTAAACGGGTAGGGTTAAGGTCAAGACTTTCAACTCGAAGATGACTCGAAGATGACCCGTTTAGTTATATTATATTTATAATAAATTTCATATTTTTATAAATATATTGGCCAAACTCAAGAATTATAACTAATATTCAAATTTTCAAAGTTACTTAATTTTAATCATTCTCACCATCTATCCATTTTGCTCCCAAACTTTAACTCTATCATTTTTCTTTCTAAACTTATTATAAATTTTGTCATTCCATCTCATAACTCTAGTGTTTCACTTTTTTTCTTTTTGCCTACACAACTTCTATTTTCCAACCTTTAACATATTTCAACTCGACATGATACAACATATTTAAAAGGTCTAAATTTTAACCCGAAACCCAACACGAAAATAAATGGGTTTGCATGACATGACACGATAATTAAACGGATCGGGGTAGGATCAAGCCCTTTCAAACCGTTTAATGTCTTGACACGATACGACATGTTTATCAGATCTAATTTTCTCTATGGTGTTCGGGTGGGTCAAGTATAAGGGTAATTCTATCAATTGTAATTGGGCTGATTTATCTTGTTATCCGTATTGTAACTTTTTTTTTCTCAATTTGTTTCTTTTGCCCCCACCTTGTATCCGTTGTAGGTGTTGAGTTTAATAAATTTCCGTCGGATCCAAAAAAAAATCTAATAAATTACTTTTCCTTGCTTTGTTGTCACAACATATAAATTAAAGAACAATTGTTAATTGATGACAACTATACACGTAAAAATTAAAAACTAAATAAAAAGTCAAATTTTAAATATTTAAAAGTAAAAGTTGCTAATGACATGAAGCAAGGAAAAGTGCAATGTATTGTTACCTGTTACATGGGTGTTTACTAGTCACGTGCGAGAGTTTTTCCCTTCCTTTTTGGACCCTTTCGCGATTAACCAGCTAAAAAACAAAGGCTCTGCTCACTGTTTCAAACTCACCCCCGGTTTACCTTCCTCAAAGTCAAACTCCTTTAAAAGCCGGATCCTTGTCCTGATTTTGTAGTTTCATCGAGTTTTTTTTTATGCATGTACAGTTAAAAACCTCACGCTATCCGGAATGGAGCGTTAACTCACACCTTAGTTTGTATGTAACACACTAATCCACCGGTGAACATTGCCCTAGAAGCTGATGGGTTGGCTATGGAGTGGCCATCAAGCCACACAAAGACATTGCTTGTGATTGGCTAAGGTTTTTTTGATTTTTTTTTTGTTGAAGGTTAGAATGAAGGAGAATGGTTGTGGAGTGGTGATCATTTCTAAGAGCTAGTAGTTTGGTAGTGAAAATAGTAGAGATGACGTGGCGCATAGGTGACAACAATTTTCTAGTGGGTTGGTGGTGATTATACTGCTTAGCATAAACTATTGAAGAAAATAATATTGTCACTCACCCATTACCTATATGAGTGGTAAATGTGACGTGTGTTGTTTCTGTTTGTATTCGTGTTGCGTTGAACGTGTCGGTATCGTATCAATCCGTTTATTTTCATGTTGGGTTTAGGGTTTAAGGTTTTAAACTCTAAATATGTTTTATCGTGCTACATTGAAACACTAAATAGGTTGAAATAGTAAGGGTTCAAGTGCTGTAAAAAAAAAAGTGAAAAACAAGGAGTAATAATTTTAAAGGCGGATGAGTGAAATTCACAACAAGTTAAAGTAACAAGTCCCGTTTGAAAGAGAGGGGAAGAGTGAGATTGTAGAATATAAAATATTAACGAAAGAAAATAAAAAAAAAAATAAAAACTAAGAATAAGTATTGAGTAGGCACCTAATAAGGACTTCCACATAATCTAAAGTTTATTTACATTTGGTTTTGGGTTTGAACATTTTAGTTTTTTTTTCTTTTGTTATTTGTCATATGTCATTTAATTTGTCAAATATCATTTTATAGTTATTTTAAATTAATTTTTTTTTCCACATGTCATTTTATGAGTTTTTTTTTTTATTTTATTAAATTCAATTTAATATAATAACTGAAATAAATGTAGCAATAAATTTAATAGCAATTTCATTAAATAACTTACTTATTAATTTCAAACTTAAAGCTCATTAGTTTCTTTTACTCATTTCAATTATTTGTTTGAATTTAAAAAATAAAAAAAAAACATTTTTATTATAATAATTTATTATTTTTCTTATTTTCTTTTAAATTCAAAGTTCTCAAATATTTTGATATTTATATTTATTTATTTATTTAAATTAACCCATATAATATATAAGTATCACAACTCATTTGTATATAAATAAACTGTTACTTTTGTGTTAAAAGTTTGAATTTCTAATTCTATCATTAATTATCATTAATTATCTTGTCATGTCATAAACGGGTGGAAATCTATATATATATATATATATATATATATATATATATATATATATATATATATATATATATATATATATATATATATATACTAATTTATAACTCGTGGAAACACGGTTATAAATTTAATTAAATTTTTATAGTAAAATTTTAAAATTATTAATCAAATATTTTAAATAAATTATTAATTAAGAGATATTTTGAGTGGTTTGCGTGGTTGGATTTCGGTGGAGATCTACAATCACTACAAAACAAGACTGTCATTCTTTCTCCAGGATGAGGTCTCGGGAGAGCGCTCTGACGGTCAAGTCAGTTCCTTAGAGAAGGGATGGTATGATTAGTGGTAAGCATAGAGATTTAAAGTTCAGGTCCCTTCATCGTTGGAGGCGTGTGGCCTTTTATAGTGAGTACATGGGCACATACCCCACTCACAGGGACATAGTGTCAGACCCCGATCAGGAGAGAGAGGCTGATTGGTGGATCATACCTTTTCCCCTATCTAAGCCATGATTGGCTTAGCCATGGTAATGGTGCGTGTACTGTTGGATTAGTGTCTAAGTCCATAACTATTTAGGTATGTACTTGACCCGATGGTGCATGGTCCTTTTGGGTTGCCTTCACCAAAGCAACTTGATTGGAGAAATATATAGAGAGAGAGAGGATAATATGATTTATTAATATGTTATAAGAATAATATATTAAAGGAGAAATCATATTTGTTTAATTAATATTGGTCAATACTTAATTAGGAATTAATTTTCTGATCAAGTGTAATTAATTAAACTAGAGGGGCTGATTTGTAATTATGTGATAGTTACAAAATAAGGTAAGGATTATCTTATATATAGGGTGAACGAATTTAAGGAGATAATGCCTTAGAATTCGACTATGATAAGGATTCAAGGATTATCTTATGGGTTGCTTTGTGGATAAGCAACTAGATAAGGATGATGACTGAAACCCTATCTCTACACCTATATAAAGACCCTAAGGCTCATGAATTCATGTATCCCTTCCCAAGAAGTCATAAGGACGAATTCTAACCTCTCTCCTCTCTCTTTATACCTTCTCCATTTGCTCTTGGTGTTTGTAAGTCATTAGAGGAGTGACACTTGTGACTCTAAGCATCCCAAAGTCAATTCAAGGTGGGATTGGGATTGTTATTGCTACATAGCAATCAAGGTAACATTAGAAACTCATTCTTATGTTAATATGATTACTTGCATGCTAGGATTAGGGTTTATAGTCTTGGATTCAAAGCATGTACAATAGAGAAACCTAGATCCAAGCATTAGGGTTTGTATGAGCACATAGGATGTCTTATGACCAAAACCCAACATGTACCTATACTGGAGTTAGCAGGTGAGGATTTGTTGTCTGTTGACTTTCCTATGTATGTGCCAGGCTGGATTCTGGTCATCGAGGGATGTCCTAATCCGAGCGGGACTAAGTGCAGGCCAATGTTGGAAAGATGGTTGGCTTGGTTATACAGCATGTGCCCTTGGTATTTCTGGCTTGCCTAGGAGGTACATTATCATGTCTCCCTAGTCTTATCCGTAGCGACATATGCATGATTAGTTGCAACATATGGGACTAGTTTCAAGTAGCGTGTCCCTCTATGCTTGGTTGCTCTCGTTTCGGCTGCATGTTGCATCGATTTTCAGTCGTGACATCACTCGCCATCATTAGGGTTTTTCAATTTCCCACCCTTTTATGCTTTTATAGGCTCTGCCTCTTCGTCTTTCCTCATTGTTGCTCTTTCTCCTAATCTTTCTCTTGTTCTCTCTCTGAACCTACGCTTTGTTTTGTTATTGATTCTCCGATCAGCTTTGCTCCTACCCCTGATCAGTTTGTTGTTCTCTAGGAGAAATACAATTTCAGCCGGAAGATGGTGTGATCTATCCTGTGGAGCATGCAAACTTCTTCTATCCGTCGGAGGTCAAGGTTCCCATTTATGTAAAATATTTCAATTATGGGTACCGTCTTTCGACGTCTGATTCCTTTTGGCGGTTTCTTTATCATCATAAGGTTCACATCAATCTGTTGGTTCCTAATGGAGTAAACAAGGTGGTTGTGTTTGTGATGGTTTTTCGGGTTCATGGAATCAACCCTGACATGTAGGTCTTCTACAATTTTGTCCGTTTTGTTGCTACTTCTTCCCTTAAGAGTTATACGTTCGTCGTTCAGAAACACAACCATGCTATTGTAGTGAACCATAAGAATTATTCGAAGAACTGGTCGAGTTGTTATTATTGGGTGAATGCTGAGCGTGTGGGTTTTAAAAATCATCGAACTGCTTCGATTTTTGATCAATCTTTTAGCCTTTACTCAGATAGGGAACAAATGGCTAGGTTTTTGCGATCTTCTCAAGTGGTGGCTGATGATTTTCTAGAGTATGTACTTGTTGGTGCCAGGATGAGTACTTGGTTGCGAATCTGTAGCAAGATACCGAAGTTTTATTTCATGGTGAAAGGTATTTGGCTATTCTTATTTAGCATTTTTCTATCTCCTTCTCTTTTTCCTCTTCTTCCCTTCTTTCTCCCCCCCCCCTCCTTTTAATGGAATTACATCTTGAAGGTGTGGAGAAAAGGGGTTGATTTCCTCGATGTGTTGACTAAAAAATGGGTTGGTAGTCTCCGTTTTTGTGAGGTGGATCTTATTGATAGGGTGTTACCATCTTTTTTATTTTCAAAATGAAGCATTTACTTCTTGTGTTGTGGTTGTTCGTGATTTTGAGTGGCGAAGGTCTATGGTGCAACCTTCTCGATTTTCTTCAATTAATCCTGTTGGTGTGGATGGACTTGTAGAGTCTTCTAGGAAGAGAGTTAAGGAGGAGGAGTTCGTGGAGGATAAGAAATAATGGATTATTCTGGTGGTGAACAAGCATAAGACTGCTTGGCAAATTGTGAGTAGTGATGATACTGAGGAACTTGCACTTGTGCGGCATTTACGGCCACATCGAATGGTTGGTAGCAGTTCTCAAGTGTCCATTGTTCAAGCTGATGTTATAGATATTCCAGATGATGCGAATGTGGAAAAGGTAGGTTCTCATGTTTTAAGTGCGCCTATTGATGATGTTGTCGTGGGTTAGACAACTATTCCTAATAATTCTCAAGTTAGGGGGTAGGGTTGGTGTTGGAGGTGGTCAACTTATTGGTTTTATCCAGCTATTTTGGGTGTTGAGAATGAAGGGAAAGGATCGAATGTTGTAGAGTTATGTCCTTGCTGGTCTCCGACGGATGCTTCTCGCATTTCTGTGTTTGAAATATTTGTTGATTTTACTTTAAATGCATTTCCTCCTGGTACAACTTCTAAGATAGTTGGATACTATCTCCTTGATTTTCTATGTTCCCTTCGATTTGCTGCAACCCAAAGTGCTTGTTTCTTTGCTAATAATGCAAACATTCTACATCATTTTTTATTATATATGAAGAGAGGTACCAGTTGCAAATGGAGATGCACACCTTGCGTTCAAAGCATGCTATGTTATTGTCTTCTCTGTCGAAGTTGAAGGTAAAGGTTGTGCATCTGGAGGGTGATTTGTTTGGAATAAAAAAAAACTTGTGGGAGAGAGGGAGGTGTTGGACGAGAAGATTGTTGAGTTGAAGCATTAAAAAGTTTCTCTTGGTGTTGTTGTTCGTAAGTTTAAGTAGGAGAATGAGGGTTTGAACATTCAATTGGAGAGTGTTGAGAGAGATACGGTATAAAAAGATCAACTTGTTAGGTAGAAAAAAGTGGCGGTTGATCGCTTGGAGGCAGACTTGGGTTGGGTTATGAGAGAGGGGCTTTATGGGGTTGTTCATCAGGTTTTCTAGAGTAAGGAGTTTTGTTGTAGTGTGAAGCAGTTTTCTGAAGCTTGTGTTGCGGCTAGGAAATCTTTGGGTGCTCGTTAGGTGCGGCAGCTGGTGCAAAGAGGTGGCCATGTTGCAGATATGCCTAAAGGTGATGTTGACTTTGATGCGGCAATTGATGAAGCTTTGGATACATTAGGATGTGTGGATTATATATCGGTGTTTGGGGCTGAGAAAGTTGGACGTTGATTGCTTGAAGCGGTTGATGAAACTTAATGGTTAGTGTTGACCCTTAATGTTTTATAATTTTTTTGTTTCTGTTTGGAATGCTTTACCTATTTGGATGTCTAGACATGTTCAATGACCTTCTATGGATTTTATGTTTGTGTTAAATCCCTGCTTGTTTATTTTTTGTTTTAAATCCTTGTTGAACAGCTTCTAGTTTTCTTTTGATGTTTTTTTTTGCTCTGAACTTGTGAATTAAACATGTTTCAACCGCTAGAATTCAGGATTCTAGGATGTTTAATCGAATTCCTTCACTATGAGCTTTATGAAACTTTGTAGTTTATTACAAGGAGAAGTGGGAGGAGTCATATTGTTGGATTCTTTAGTCTAGTTGCTTAAGTGTGTGTGTTTATCCAGGCATGGAACGGGTCGAGAATATACATTTTAGCCTTAAACCGCGACGGGGCTCGAAGATGGGTGTTTGGGGAACAGTAAGTTTTTGGGGTCTTTCAGATCTTTGTGACAACATAAAGCAAGTCAAATCCAAAGGATTTGGGACCATTTTGATCACGTAAAGCAAGTCAATCCAAAGGATTTGGGGCCTTTTTGATTATTGGAAGAGTAAGTTGAGCCTTTTAGCCTCAAGACATAGGCAGGTTAAATCCAGGGGCTTTGAAACCGTTTTGCTATCTAAAAGAGTAAGTTGAGGCTTTTAGCCTCAAGACATAGGCAGGTCAAAGCTAGGGGATTTGTAATCATTTTTCTATCTAGAAGAGTAAGTCGAGGCTTTTAGCCTCGATACATATGTAGGTCAAATGCAGGCGCTTTGGAACTGTTTTTCCGTTTGATAATCACATGTGCATTTATATTGCACTTTGAATATTGTCGACTAAAATAAAAGGTTTCATTTATTTCATATCTAGAGGAGAGGGTGATCAGACCTTCCTATCTTCCATTATTTTGAAAAGAAGAAACATAAATGGAAGCATACGAGGCGAATAAAGTTGTTCTTCTATGCATGAATATCAGCAATAGAATCATTGTAGATTATGGATGTTCCAATTTCTTGGGATGGGCCTCCTTTATCATGTTTCCAAGACATATCAGCCTTTCTTGTGGGCTTCTATGACTTTGTAAGGCCCTTCCCAGGCTGGTCTGAGCTTTCCGCAACGCTTGTCATGTATGATGCTTGCCACAATGTTGTTGTTCTCCTTTTTTCTTCCATTAAATCAAGGTTGATTTGGAGTTCTTCATCGTTCATTTCGTTGTCAAAGGATTATATCGACAGTGTTTCTATGAGTAGCTCTTGAGGTAGTACGGCTTCTGTTCCATATGTCAGGCTGAAAGGTGTTTCCTGGTTCCTATGCCGGGGGTTGTTCTATATGACCATAAAATTGTGGGTACATCGTCTACCCAATTCCCCTTTTTCTTATAAAATCACTTTTTGATTCTGGATACCAGGGTCCTATTGGAGACCTCTGTCTTTCTGTTAGCCTATGGATGGGCAACGGAGGTGAATCATTGTTGTATGTTACACTCCTTGCATTATTCTCTAAAGGGGGTTTTAGCAAACTATACACCGTTATCGCTGACGAGTGTCTTTGGAATTCCAAAACATGTGAGGATATTTTTCCACATGAATTTGACCATGCTAAAACCATTTGTGGATGCAATTGTTCTACTTCTATCCATTTTGTGAAGTAATCTACTGCCACGGCCAAGAACTTGACCTTCCTTGGGGCTTCTGGGAAATTTCCTACAATATCTATTCCCCGTTTGTAAAATAACCATGGGTTAGATATGTTGGTTAGCGGGGTTGTCGTTAAGTTCTGTATGGGTGTAAATGGTTGGCATTCTCTGCATTATCTTGTCACTTCAACCACATCCTTGTAAATGTCGGCCCAATAGATTCCAAGGCGAAAAATCTTCCTAACTAACACTCTGGCCCCTTCATGTGTGCCTTCCTCTTCCGCATGTGTTTCTTGGAGTCTGCTTGCACCTTCTTGTTGTGTTACACATTTTAGCCATGGTGCGAGGTATCTTTTCATGTATAACGTTCCATTGCGGAGGGTTTTTTGGGGTGATTTGATTTTTATCTTTCTTGCCTCTACTCCATCATCTGATAGGATGCCGTTCAGCAAGTAGTCGAAGTATGGTGTCATTTAGCTTGGCCAGAATGTTCCTATTACAACAATTTGTTGGTTATCGATGCTTCTTGTTAAGAGGACCTCAACCAACACGTTTTAGTCAAATGGTCGAATGATGTTGACGTCAACTTACTTAGCGCATCCGCCCACTTATTCTTAGACATCTGTATCTGTTTGAGGATGAAATGTTTGAAGGTTTTAGCTAGATGTTTTACTGATTTCGCATATTTTTTCATTCTCTCGTCTCACACTTTGTAGAATCCGTTGATTTGGTTTGTTTCTAGCATGAAATCACTTCGCGCCTCCGCTTATGCCCCCATTTCTTTCGCTAGGTGTATTCCTGCTAGTAAGGCCTCATATTCCGCCACATTAAAGGATGTCTGGAAGTCAAAACTTATTGCATATGTGACTTCCCCACCTGTTGGTCTTTTCAATAGTAATCCTGCTCCTGATCCTTCCTTGTTGGAGGCCTCATTGGTGTATAGGATCTAGTATTTCATTTCTTCTTTTAAAGGGTGTATTCATGTGGTTTCCTTATCATATGTTTGTTGTGTCTTGTTAATTCCACTAGGAAGTCTACTAGAGCCTGTGCTTTGATGCTCGATCTTGGTCTGTACTCGATGTCGTGTTCTCCGAGTTTGATTTCCCACTTGGCTAGCTGGCCGGATTTCTCTGGTTTTGATAGGATTTGTTAGATGGGTTGGTTGGTGAGGACTTCAATGTGGTGTTCTTGGAAATATCTTCATAGACTTCTAGCCACATGGATTAGGGATAGGACCAACTTTTCAAATGTCGAATAGTTTAGTTTTGGTCCTTGTATGGCCCTGATAACGAAGTAGATTGCTAGTTGTTTTCTATATTTTTCTACTACAATGACTACATTGGTGACTTCTTGGGAGGTGGCTAGGTACATGGATAATGTTTCGCCTGGTATTAGGTTGGCCAACATTGGGAGCTTTCGTAGAGCCATCTTTAGCTTCTCCAATGCTTACTTTGCCTCTTCTATACACCTGAAATTGCTCTTGTCTACACATCCTTTTAGATTTTGGAATATTGGCATAACCTTTTTGGTTGACTTTGAGATGAAACGTCCTAATTTTGTTATCTTTCCTTCCAGGCCCTGCATTTCTTTTAAATTTCTAGGGGAATTGGTCTCCAGGAAGTGTCTTACTTTTCTCAGCTTAGGTTTTATTCCTTCCCTAGTGACGTTGTAGCTTAGAAATTGGCCTTCTTTGGCCCTGAATGTACATTTGGCAGGGTTCAATTTCATTTGTTCCTTTTCTAATGTTTTGAGAGTTTTCTCAACATCTCGCAAGTGTCATTTGTGTTTTTTATGACCATATCTGTCACATCCCGCTAAAGCGGAAACACAGGGTGTGGCAGTACAAAGGGTTTCATAGCAAAAGTTAAAAGACAACACCAACCATAGTATTAAAAATCATTACAATTTTACAATGGGTTTGAACAACTTTTAAAAGAAATTATAATGTAAATTGAAATACAACACATGCGAATGCTCCTAAAAGTGAAGTGTCCCTAAGTGGCACTTACTCGATGATTCCTGAAAAAGCATGTAAGACGAGCGTCAACTATAAAAATAGTTGGTGAGTACTCACAAGGACTTTCGGGGCAGTGATGCACCGGACTTTCATGGGGCGAAGGACCCCATAGCTTCCAGACAATGGATTGCAGACATCAAGTGTGCACAGTTGACTAGCTTCTGCCCCGAGGGGTCGAAGGTGAGCTATGTGGCAGGGTGGTTACAAGACCGAGCTCGAGACTGGTGGGAGTCAGTGGGTGACTCGTTGAGGGCAGAGTTTGCTGGCTGTCGAGCTTCAGCAGCTGGCCAGGGAGTTTTTGCATATGAGACAGACGATGGAGACTATGGCAGAGATCACCACCAAGTTCCGGGAGAGGGCACTGCTGGTGCCATAGTACGCGGGCGACGATGATGTATGATTAAAAGTACAACATAGTACGATAAGTTGATGCAAGATTGGGCATCGTCTGCGGTCAAGAAAGACATAGAGTTAAATACTATTTCGAGGAAACATAGAAGTTACGGTTATTACCTAGGATGAAGAAATAACGTGTGGAATCATTATGTAAGTCCTATTCGTTGATGATTCTGGGACGTAATCATCCTAAGAGAGAGAGATAATTATAACACCCGTAGATCCAGGCTAGTCAAATTAGAGATGATAAGCATCAAAAATGACTTTTTGATGGAAGATTATTTAGAAGGATTAATCTTAACCAAGTTGTAGTATATGTCACAAGGTTTCCGTACATATAAATAACGTCAAAATCCGAGTTATAACAAAGAAGTTATGACCTGTCGAAGTTTCGCGACAGAATCGGCATGACCCAACGCGACGTAAATAGTGAATTTAAGGTAGATATATATCTATCCTTAGTGATGTAAATGAGAGTCGAATATTTCTTCAATAGTAGTCCAACGATAAAAAGACAGACGAAAACGGATTTCAGATGAAGGAGTTATGAATATCGAACAGACTTTTCCCATCCCGGCCTACTAAAGATAATATATAAATAATATACTTATAATATATTAAAAATAAATTCAAAATTATCCAATAGAGTCTAAAGTAGAGTTGTAGAGCATAATCTCATATTCGCGTCGATATAAAGAACGTCGAAAACGGAGTTCATATGCAAAAGTTATGAATTTCTGAAGTTCAGGGCGCGAACCCCAAAGTTGTGTAAGAGACCACGACGTGGCAAGCAGCGCCATGATGTGGCATGTCTTCTGACACCTCTGGGAGTCCCTCAGATGCAACTTGAGATGACGCATGCAGTGACGACCAAGTCCACGACGTGGCAAGGGCCAGTTTTGCCCTATAAATAGATTTGAAG